AAAAAAAAACATGCCTCATCAAAGGCTTAAGTTCTTTGTTCATTTCGCAACTGTTGCCATAATAGCTGATTTTTCTTCCTCTTTATCTTCTTTTCTGCCAGGCATGGTCAATGTAAGGTCATGAACAAAATCATACTTAATCCTCCTCCAGGTGCAATGGGAGGAGTGTGGTATGAGCCAAACAAGTTGATGACACATACTTTACCACTGATATTGCACCTGATAGATGAGAGGAAAGGGACACAAAAAGGCAATCCTATAGTACTAGCAGATTCTGACCGCTAGGGAAGCTGCTTATTATCACCTGTGTGAATCTCAACTCAGCCTGAAGCAGGAAGCAGAGGCACACACAGAAAATAAAACATGCATGACACCCACACCTAGATTGAATCAAAACATACATAACGAGTGACTTGGAATTCAGTGAAAAGAAAATCAAATACGCTAAAACTGGCCTCACCTTGCAATATATATCAAACATGCCCCCCAAAAAGAATTAACGGGGAAAAAAACCCGAATGATCTGACAAGAGGATCAAGACAATGAAGAAAGCAGGTGTACATCACAGAGACTTCACAACAGAAAGCACAATAACAGCGGGAAGACCGACAGCAAACCGGGAGGAAAGAACTAGAAATAACAAGGCTGTAAACAAGAGACACATGAAGATCAAGACAACATTACAAAGAAAAAGGCAAAAGAAGAGAGGTCAGTCAGCATCAATTACTCACAGGAAATTCATCTTTGATTTTGTTGCCCGCCTCTTCGAAAGTAGGAGCCAGTATCTGACTGAATCTGCACCTGTGTATGAAAATGTTGGAGACAAAACTAAGACACTTTTTTTGACTTGTAAAGTAGGCTACCTCACACAAAGGGAGAGCCCTAAACATAACCACAAGCACAATAATACAGAGGAATAAAATCGTATTTTTGTTTTAGTAAGTGAGTTACGGCACTTGCAATACAATAAGGTCATATAAGTGCCGAAGATTAAAGGTGTTACAAGAGAGTAACAAACACAAAAAAGAAGGAGGAGAGATCAGGACAATAGATGTTCGATAGGAAAGAAGGAGCAAACCACAAAAGAGCACCCACCAACCACCCACTAAAATCTCATCACCTCACTCTCTCATGCACATGTAACACACAGCACAGTGACACTTCCTTGCTACTAGCGTTTATATTTATATCTCCCAAGTCTTCGTAGTGTGGGAATTCAAAATTTTCAATTATTTGAGCAGCACGTAGTAAAATTTTTTATTTGCTACAAAGAATTTCAGAAGCAATAAAATGTTCTTTTTCTCTTCAGTTTCATCACAGTACTGGATCTTATACATGAGGACTCAAAGATAGGAGCATTACTTACCAATCTGCATAGAAGTTGACAATGGCTATATCATTACCACCTGAAAGCAGAAAATATGACATTTATTTAATTCAGATTCAAACAGACAATTCATGCTTTTATCAGATTATGGCAACATTGAAAAATCATAAAGTGTTTACGTATATATATTAGCATAGTATTAATAATGTTGTCAAAGGTTGCGGAGACAAACAACAAGAATGGCTGACCCATCGATATTCATTTGAAGTAGAAAGAATTCCATCCAGATATATACGTATATATATATATAACTCAATAAACAGAAACAAACAATTTCAGCACGTGTTTGGAATTTGCGAGCACAGACAGAAACTTTCTAGTTTGTTGTTACTGCAAATGTCTGTTTTGTTCGGAACACTTAGCTCCTGGTCACAAAGTGCAGTGTTTTTTTTCATGTTAAAATACCTAAACAATACCAAAAAAAGTCATTAAAGCATATAGTAATACATCTAAAATATATTTCTGTGGACACTCAGTTATTCTCATCTCATCATCTTCTTGTAATCAATGTAATTTTTTTTTTAAACAACCTTCAACAAAAGCTTCAGGTCATTTTATACAACAAGCAGAGTCTCCATATGAGACTACACTGCCTAAATCATATCACCTGAGAAAGAAAATCGTGAATATATTTAAGAAATACATAATAAATCCCTCCTCTCGAATATATGTTTTTGTATAATCTTTGCATACATTTTAGACCAGTAACAAAAGAAAACAAAAAACAAAACAACCCCACACAGACTTACTTAACACACTGTTTATATTATTGTCATTTAGAGCCACAACTTCTCCTGTAACAAACTGTCTGGTTGCAAGCGTCACCTAAAAAGTACAAAGAAAAAAACAGTATATATAAAGGCTTTGCAAGAAAATTTAAAAGAACCTAATAAGAACAACAATTTGGAAATACAAGTATCTGCTGACAATAAAATACAGCACATCTACTGAAAACAGTAACAAAGCCATCAGCAGCAATCTGGATACCCAACACTAAAGTCTTTTTTTTGGGGGGGGGAAGAGATTAACGGTGCTAGAACTGCATAAAATCGACTCTAATACAAACAGAAGCTTTCTCAGTCAAGTGGAGTCATGATCAGTAAGATCAGGGCACCTGTTGGAATTTTGGTGAGTTTCCAATTTCCAGAATTTGCAACCCATCAACAAGGTTACTCCTGAATGATCTAAACACGTTTGATAACAGTACATTTATTCTTTCCTTTTTTTTCCCCATTATAAAATACCTTTACTTTTCAAGGACATAAAGGAATTTTTTCTGGCTTTGATGAAAGCGAATAACATAGCCCCCCCCATTTACTGGGACCAGTAAAATTGAATAATTAATAATTGACCCAACGATAGTCCAACCCTCAACTCGAAGGGGAAATCATTTCTTTTTTAAAACTTACTTCAATTAAACGAGAGTTTTCTTTACTCATACATTTATTAAACAATTAAACAAGAGGTTAAATATGAGCGAACACAAGCTGTATAACTGACTCTCCCTCCCTCCCTCCCTCCCTCTCTCTCTCTCTCTCTCTCTCTCTCTCTCTCTCTAACGACAGTAATAATCATAAACATCTGAAAAACTCTTTCTCATGGGCGCATTTTGCAAAGACAGAAAACATTAAGCTAAGCTTTAAAGCCTTTAGCTATTTAATGTGTACGTTGAAACGAGGTTTTCCAGTAACAAAAAGAATACTTCAACTACAAAACAAATCCCCCTCCCTTTTAACCCTTCGAGTCCCATACATATATATTTTTTTTCACAGCACTTGTATCTCCCACCGTCCCAAGAGCATATATTCTCAGTTTTGGGGGTACCAAATTAGCACATTTTTCTAAATTAGCTAAACTAATTAAACTTTAATTTTTATAATATTTGTTCATTTACCTTTAAACATTGTTTTATGTTATCTAAACCTCGTTACAAAGACACTACATCACTTTTTAGAATGCATGCCTCTTTTTTTTTAAAATACTGCTGTATTGGCTGGGACTGGGGTTAGGGGAGCACAAAAATGGTTAAAACCCATCAAAGAGAGAGGTTAACAGTTAACACTTGAGTAAAAAGTTATAAAAACAGGCATCAAAAGAGATGATTTGAAATTGAACCCATATTCCAAATCAAAGCCTTCTACTTTACAATAAACATAATGGCAAGGTGAATAGCTATTCGACCCTCAACTCCGAATTCCTGTCTTTACCTGTCCTCTATAAATATCCCAAGGTGTCAAGTGGAACTGTACATGGGCCAAATTACCACAATACAGTAATAATATTTCTTATCTATCCAGAACCCCTCCATCATTCTTAACTACACCATCTTTGAGAAGACCCTAGTTTATTGATCCTATTTTCTACAATAACAGCCAGATAGATATGATACGATGATTATTAACTTGATAATAACTAACGATAAAATAGCAGAACAACAATCAACAATAGTAATATAACTCAGATCTTCCCCTTGAATATGCATTCACTATTTCGTACTTCCCCCATTACAATCAATCAACATCCGAGAGCCCATTCTAATTATGTAAGCCCAGTACGGGGATCTACACCAAGAGAAAGTAATTTCCTCTACTTCATTGAGCTCATTGGCTCCCTGAGAACGAACAGCTGGCTTGATCAGAGAATCAATAAATATTCATAGCGCAAGGGCAACAGCTGTGAAAACAGAGGGGAGAGGAACTATCCACGGTGCTATAATATAAATATCCACACTTTTGCTCTACTTTATTCATACAGAACAGGTTCACACAAGAACTTTGTACTTTGTACAGACATTAAAAGCAAAATTATGCTCATGTACTCAACTGCACTGATTTAAGTTATAAAAGATGAATTTTTATGGAAGAAAATTCAAATTTAGCTTTCAATTCAGGTAGCATTTAATGGAGATGTATGTACTAACAATGAGTAGAAATCTATTTCAAGAGGAGGACTGATTGGGGAGGGGGAAGTGCAAAGTGTCAACAATACTGAGGTGATCAAGGAGAAATTGCCACGCATTTTACAGCATAGTCAGCATAATTCTAGTTCAGGAAAACTGCTTGGTAGGTCAAATGTGTGCGTACCTGATGAAAGGTACCATAAGACACATTTGTTTGAACTGAGATAGAGGGCAAAAAAAAAAGGTAAAAAATCCATTTCCGTTTTAAAAAAATTGAGTTCCATTGAAAACTTATTCTTGAGCCATTCATCTACTGGAAGGCTTTGGGTTTATTCTAAGCTAAAAATGTATTTTTGAAGACATTTTTTTATACAAATCTTCTGACATAATAACAGAGATGGCATAAAAACATCTGCTGTCAGGGCCTACTTGTAGAAAGTTTCTACGACTCATTCATAGAAACAAACCCGAACACACTGCATAGGTCAGCTTGTTCTGTAATCTACCTCGATCTGGGAAGCACACATGAGTGTGTAAGAAAACAGTAAGGGATGGCAAGTTTTGTGCATTTGTACCCTGTTCCACTTCATGTGCAAAGCCAAGGCAAAAGCCGCTCTTCGGAATTTCTAGCATTGTCATTGACGTAAATTTCTACGACTCATTCACAAAATTCAACCATGTAACATCACATATCAAAATTTAGGCCAGTTTTTGTCCCTTTCGAGTTGAGTAAAATGGATGCAAAGGAATATAAGGACACAGCAAAGGAAGGGAGACTTTGTGCATACACATACCCTCCTCCACTTCATGATCAAAGCCAAGGCAATTTTACGGAATTTCTTGTTCTACGACCCCCCCCCCCCCCCCTCCTAAAAAAAAAACAACTAACGATAATAGTTATTAGGGAAAACTGAGGGTCCACTCTTACCTTTTATATCCAAATCGAACAAGTTTGAATAAAGTAATACAGTTTGAAACATTCCAAACTTGAAGATTGCCAAAAAAGTCGCTTAGTCTGTTTTCAGGGTGACGCAGCCCCAGCATACATCAGATCATATAAAATATTCGAATAGCCTCCCGTGGCTATTCAGACTCACACTCCAATACTGTAGAAGGATTGCAGCTTGTCTTACTGTCAGATGTATTGTTTTGTCCTGATTTTATTTGAACATCATGTAAAGTATAGCTGTTGGAAAAGCTTTTCCTTTAGACCAGTTACTTTGAATGAGTGACTTTTGTTCCCTTTGGAAGGGTTTTAACTTTTCTCTTCTTAATGTCTAACTGGACTTCCAACTGATAAATGATTTTGTCTTTCTCGTCAAAGAAAGCGGGTTTTGACTACCTACTGAGTGATAGTCCCCCCCGCCTATAGTTGTAGGCAAAAGCTCCTCTTGGGGGAAAAAACAGAATGTGCATGCTTCATCACTACATTAAAAAACTACAAAGCACAAATCATAATATCAAGGTAAAAAATTGTTGGTCCGTCGCGAAAGAAGAAAAAACCCCCAAAAAAACTTCCAGGACCGGGAATCGTTCCCACGATCATAAAATAATGGTTAGACTTCAAACGTAGACGTGCTATATTATATCCATTCAGCGATCAGAACTTCCAACAATAAAAGAGGTAGATTAAGCTTCTTGCGATATTTAACACACAGCGTTTTATAGCATTGGCGCTAATCACAACGCAGCGTTTTAGGGACTAGTCAAGTTGTGATGTCCCGGCCCAGGGGGGCAGCCAGGCAAAATCAGACAGGGAATCTCCAAACTGGATGCTTTTTCCACGGTTTTGGCCCCAACAGTAGGCTAGGGGGGTTTAAGATAATTTAAAAACATAGAGGGGGAGTGGGGTCCAGGGGGGCCTGACCCCCTGAATTTTATCATAATTTGATGTTTCGCAGAGATAGATCTAGATCTAGGTTTGATATCTCTCGCTTGCTGAGGATCAACAAACATAGCCAAAAATAGATCTAGATCAAAGCTCTAAAATAAGCAGGGCAGGAACTGCCAAAAATGCGCCCAATCTGGAAATTCCCTAAATATTGTTGCCAAAATGGCCGCCCCCTGAACCGGGACATCACAACTCGACTAGATCTAGTGCCGCGTTTTATTTAGCATTGGCGCTAATCGCAACGCTGCGTTTTAATTAGTACTGGCACTAACAGCAACGCGGCGTTGCAAATAGAGTAATTGCACCGGGTCGGGCAGCAGGTTTTTTTTTTAGTTTTCGGGCACTGGAGTACAAAAAAGTCGTTTACAACTTTGTTTTTAAATCTAACCCCAAAAGAGCGGCACACAAACCTAAAGCAGCCTCCCTTACTTCTCTATAAAGAATGAATGAAAATTTGCAGTTCAGTCTCATCGTTTTTGCCCTTGCCCAAAGGGGGGGGGGGGGGGGGGGATTGTAACATAAAATCCGTAGTTTCTCATCCTTCGGGCACATATAAGATAATATGCTAATGAGAATCAAGACTTTGAGCATAATTTAAATACAGTCAAACCTGTGTAAGACGGCCACCCATTGTCAAGGAGAAAAGTGGCCGTATAAGACAGGTGGCCGTCTTGGGGAGGACTGATCAAGATGAAGAAAACAAACCATTCCCATCTGAGGTCCCAATCGAAAGTGGCCGCATTGTTGTTGTTTTTGTTGTTGTTTTTGTTGTTGTTGGTTTGTATTTTGTTTGTTATTTTTATTTTGTTGCTGATTTTGTGCAAGGGTGATAATAAAACTAAATGTATCAGACGATGAAGACCGAGTGCCATGTTAAAACAAATACATGGGTCGCCACCACTCGGAGAACAAGGGACGCTTCTGTCGCAAGTTCATGTTGACGTCCTTTGTTACTTTGTTACAGACTGAGTAAACACCACTGATCGCACTTACGACTTGTGTATGAGTTCTGGGCGGGGCTTATGGGATATGAGGGTTCACATGCTTACCTCACCAACAGATGAAAATGGGTACCTATTGGTCAACAGTGGGAGGGGCCTACGCAACATGATCGTTTGGAGGGACTAACTAACAACAACAAGTGATTGGATTATGACGGCCAGTGCAAAATTTTTATGACAAAACGTAATGGAGTCACTAAGGCACAAAGGTGGCCGTCTAAGACAGGTGTTATTGCTCAGTGTGATAGGGGTTGTGTGTTAACTCACTTCAGACGGGTCACACAACAGTTGCGTGACCCCCGCCGCGACGCTCGCGACGGGTCTCACAAGCCCTGCGTGACCAACTTTGGAATTTTTTTTTCACTCTACAAATCACTCACGGATTGCGAGACCCGCCTCGTACCCTTGTTTGGCCAAGCCTGAGCTACTTAGACTTCATTTCCTATCTCTGGGGCCGGTAGTTTTTAAGTTATTGAAGGTGAAGGACAGTGACCCCAACTGGGGTTGAACAGACCGGAACTCGCGCTTTGTTTTTTTCTATACAGCTGATAGTAATCCGACAGTCGCGTCGTAGTAACGGTCGAAGAAGTCGCATGAACAAGAATCACATAATTTCGCCGTTTTCTATACTTCTGTGCGTTTTACTAGTTCTAGTGTCTCAGAAAATGATGTGTCTAATAGTTAGGATCCTGGATATGTACCTGAACACGGCCCGAGTCATAGTTCTAGGGCTAGATCTAGCACTAGTACCGGTGTTGTTTTTAGCGCAACGAAATCACAACGTCGTGCCATACATCTGTCTCATGTAATTCAGTGTATGGGTCTGAATCAATGCACAGACCAGCTTTTATATTTTTACCAAACACTCGACAAATCAAACCAGAACACTTTGAACTCTTATTTTTGTTGTTGCAGTGAATTTCATTCTACTTGTCACGTCTCTGGAAATTTTTCGGAAAATCAAATTCATACCAATTTTTTAAAAATCATACAAATTAAAGTTTTAGACTTAGACAACTTTAGTTTTTTGTATTAGATTAAGCTTGAATGTTACTTTACTGTGTCAAAAAATGATTACAATAGGGTAATTCTGAGAGTTGTGGTGATTTATTGAAATACCCCCAAAAACGCCAGTCTTCAACGCTTGTGACTGGTGAAAGGCCAGAAAGGGCCCAGTCGCAAGTGAGTTAAAATATGGTGGCCGCAGCCGCGTTGGACAGGTGCCCATTTTATACAGGTAAATTATATAGAAAAAACGCAAGGGGGGAAATGAAGAGTGGCCGTTTGTACAGGTGGCCGTCTATAGAGGTGGCCGTCAGGGCAGGTTTGACTGTATATAATATAGTAGAGTCAGATACAGCATCAGTCAGACACCAGTGTAGTAGAGACAGACAATACCAGTGTGTAATACAGTCAGATACCAGTGTAGCAGAGTCAGAACAAGCTGAAACAGTACATTCCTGGGAAGGACTTCCGTAACGAGCGACCACCCCATCAAACACACTTGAATAAAGAAGAGGCCTAACCCTACCCAAACCCTAGATCTACCCCTAGCCCTAAATCTACCCCTACCCCTAAATTCTGCTCTGTCTCATAGTGGTCGCTCGTTACAGAAGTCCTTCCTATTCCTGGGGTCATCCAAGTTTCGGTAAAATCTCTAGACTCTAGGGGGAAGGACTTCCGTAATGAGCGACCACCCCATCAAACACAATAAAGAAGAGGCCTAGACCTAACCTTACCCCTAACCCTACACCTAACCCTACCCTTACCCCTACCCCAAGCCCTCAATTCTGCTCTGTCTCATAGTGGTCGCTCGTTACGGAAGTCCTCCCCTCTAGGGCAAGGTAGATAGGAGATATTAAGCTTTAAAGTCGACGAGCCTATTTTCGTCCTAATTTTGACCGAACTGGTAATTTTACTCTAGGCACTCCCTAATAATTGGGGGGGGGGGGAGGGGGTGGGAACAACTGTTACTGAAATAGAGTACATCCTGTGGTGCGATATACAGTAAGCGATCTTTTGTGGATATCTCTGGAAGTTACAGGTCGATCTTCATGATTTTTTCACCAGAGAAGTTAGAAAAACTTCCTCTCTATACGGTGTAGCGCATTACTGTAACAGCAGTTTAAAATTTCTATATGTTGTGGTGGTGTTTGTTTGGTAACGTGTGTCTGGTTTGGTGCGCAAGGTTTCTGGTTTGGTGCAACATATCGTCTTGTTGGGTGCGCAATAGTACCATGTTTACAGCTCTAGATCTAGATCTAGCTCTTTTCTGACACTTTTCATCTTTCGCTATCCTTGCTTTGTCTTCTTTTCCTTGCAAGAAGTTCCTGTACTGACCATAATGGAAGGCCAAGGTCAATTAGGCGTGTTCTTTTTGGGAGCTGTGCGCCCCCTGACAGGAGATTTCCTTACACCTTGTGTATGTGTTTTGATAATTTAATGGATAAAAAGAAAGGTGCTGTGGACACAAGAAGGGGAAAAAAGAAAACAAGAATAAGACTATACCTAGAATCTAGTATTTTAGAAGGAAAAGGACAAAAAAGAAGAAGAAAAAGACGTGAAAAGAAGAAATTGAAAAAGAAAGGTGCTGTGGACACAAGGAAGTGAAAGAAGAAAACAAGAATTAGACTATACCTAGACTAGTATTCTTTAAGGAAAAGGGCAAAAAAGAAGAAGAAAAAGACATGAAAAGAAGAAATTGAACATTTTGGAGATTATATTTCCATATTAATTAATTTTGACATGAATACATTAACTTATCATCTTCCAATGGCAATATAATGCATCCAAATGGAAGGAAAACAGTCTGTTTCAGTGCACAATGCAGGTCATAGAGAAATAACTTAATAAGTAAAACAAACAAAGGGCCTAGAAGCCACACTATCAATGCCAAATAGCAAAAAAGCCGATATTGCGCACGAAACGGACTGCCCAAATTTGGTCCGCTTCAGTGCGCAACCCTATCTAGCACTTTCCTGGGCATTAAGAAGCAGCCTGCGATAGTATTTATCGATTCTAGTATACATTCTACGATACATTAGAGCTAGATTAGCTAGATGTGCTAAATAATCGACTACTCAAGCGCTTAGTAAATTGATCGATACCGGTTACAAAAACCATTAATATGAAGGGGCAAAACTTTCCGACACCGTAGAATCACGTGTGTTGACAGGAACCTCCAAAACGAAAGTGAAATAAGCTGCATTCTGCGCATGCTCACAGAAAATGACCTCGTTTTCGCTGTTCTTATCCAAAACAAAGCAGGAGACCGGGGGTTGCGCACCAAAACAGTAGCGCGGTGATGCGGGCCTACTCTAGCGCTCATTAGCTTTCTTTGGCTTTCTTCCTTCAACTCCATAAAATCATCCAGATCTGCCAAAACTCAAAACATCTCTTGTCTGCCCCCTTACTCTTCTTTTTTATCACAAAACATAGATCTAGATTCTATTTCTCACTACAAACACAAAATTTAGCAGCTATTGGAAAGACAGATTTTAAAGCTGTAGGCTAATGAGCACGATCACTCCAAACTTAATTCATCCTTTGCACAGAAGCTGCACTGCAGTGGGAGTGCTGTGTGTGATGAGACACTGTTAACCGTCTCGTTAGTCCGGAAAGAAAAATAACATATTATTTCTCACCAGAATAAGTGCACATGGAAGCAAGTGCAAATCCGCCATCATTCTTTCAAGAATATAAACTTAAAAGGGTAAAATAGGCCGAGTCTATGACAACGGCTTTCAAACTTTTCTCCACAGATTGTGGAGTAGACGGTTACACTACTGTTGCTACAGGAAAGCAGTCAATGTGTTACATCCGGAAACGGGGTAAAAATAAACATGGCGATGTGTGCGTGTAATCTCGTCACTCTGAGACTTAGCAATTTAGACTGTATATTCATTATTTACTTGATTAAATCTCTGAAAACAAAATATAAGCTTTCAAAGGTCATTTATACGCATACAATTTTCTGCATAGATAATAAGCACCATGTATTCGAAAATTTAGCAGCCAGACTGAAGAGGAAAAAAATTAGAATAAGGCGAAATAAAAATGAAACGAAAAATAACTAAAACGTCTTAATCCAGTTCGAAGAATTAGTCTTTCAAGGCGGCTATTTATAAATTATGACTTAAAATTAAGATCCTTTAGCCTAACACAGTACTGTAATTGATCAATCAAAGACGGTTCAGTAACCATATTTTCAATCAGCACTTGGCTTGGTACCTGATTCATTCAATTCATTCGGTTTTAGAGAACATTCCGGTGTTCATTTCATGTAGCCCCAGCCTTTCATTTGAAGGCTTTTCATAATCATCATAAAGTATGATACAGTTCCCGATCTGAAATAGAAATCAGTGATCATGGTTCTCCTTTTATTTCTCCCCTCGCGTGCTCTCAAAAACCATATATATTTTTCAGGTGTTTCCCTTCTTCCTTCTGTTCAATTTTCCAAATAATTTTCTCTGGACCGGCCGGCCGCCCTTAATTGTTTGCCTTCCATTTTTCCAAGAGCATTTAAGATGTTCAAAGATTAATTTCTGTCGAGTCAAGTGTCCCCAAAATTGCATACACTTCCTAATTATTGTCTCATAAATTAGCGACCTCAGAGGGTTTTCTTTTTGTGAGGCTTGCTTCCTCGATTGATTACTTCTCTCTGTTCATGAAATTTTCAACAACAAAAAATGCAGTCCAAGGAAACCTAGATCATTTCTAGTGTTGCTTCTACAATGTATTTAATTTTTATTCTCACTACCTTTGGAAACTAAAACATGTCGGCCAAATTGGCCTATATATGTGTATATTATATATATATTATGTATATGTATATATATCTCTGTGTGTGTGTGTGTGTGTGTGTGTGTGTGTGTGTGTGTGTGTGTGTGTGTGTGTATGAGAGAGAGAGAGAGAGAGAGAGAGAGAGAGAGAGAGAGAGAGAGAGAGAGAGAGAGAGAGAGAGAAAGAGGCAGCGTGGTGGAATCAGGCTCTCGTCAAAATAATCAAAGTGAAGAAACTAGCATTTTTCCGCAGATTTGAGAAATTTTATCGAATTTCTCGTTTTTGGCTCAACACCTTTCATGCCCATTAATAGAACTCATTTCTGTGTGGATCTGACTGAAAAACGTGGATTGAAGGCACACAAAAAATGTTAATTTTCAGTTTTCACGGACTCTTATACTAAGGAAATAACTAACTTTTGACTGCCTTTTTCTCATTAATTTTACCTCTGAAACCAGGTGACTCCAACCTCCTTCATATGCAAATATCTCGACTTGTATTCAAGATAAATTGATATTTTTTTCATCCAAATAAAGACAAGTAAAAAAGCTTTAAGATGATACCAATAACTCTACATGCCCAAAAATTGACGAGAGCCTAATTCCATCACGTCATGCCACATATATATATATATATATATATATATATATATATATATATATATATATATATAAATATTATATGGGGCCTATATATATGTGTGTGTGTGTGTGTGTATGCGTGTGTATGTGTGTGTGTGTGTGTGTCATGTGTGTGTGTGTGTGTGTGTGTGTGTGTGTGTGTGTGTGTGTGTGTGTGTGTGTAATAATATAATATATTGATATATTAAATAGGGGCCTATTATACGCGAATTTCCCTTCAGGGTTGTTGTTTTTTACTTGTCGGAGTCTAAGGCGGAATTAAGTGCTTTAACTTTGCCCACTAGACCTGTTTTCAGACAAAACTATCAAGTTTGGTTCCACATCTCGGCTCTACACACGCCATAACCGCCAGATATATGAGGAAGGGGAGCACGTTAAAATACAAAAGTATCAACTCAGCTGTCACTTTTACCGGTGAATTAATAGAAAGAGTAGATCTAGATCTAGATATCAATGCATTGAAAGGGTGAAAAATGGATGTACCAAAAAAAAAAAGTTAAAATGCCGAATAAAGAAGAAACGGAAACCATCCAGTATTGCATTTGTCATCCCGCTGACTGTTTCGTCATTTGCTAGGTTTTGAACTAGATCTAGATCAAAGATATGTAGTATTTACACGGTTTCTATCTTTAAAAAAAATAATTTTAAAATTAAAATTTTAAATCGAAAACTGCAAGTGAAACGAATCAACCACATGTAGCCGACATGACTGTGAACTAATTATATTAGATCTAATACCAGCCATTCACCTATGCATGCATGAGTGCTTTCTCTCCGGACCCTGGAAGGGATTCGAACTCACGACCTTACGATCTCGTGTCCGAGAGCCGAACCTAACGATTACCGACTCCACTTTGTCCTTAAATAATACATTTTCGGAACCCTTGTAGGCCTTGTTTATGCCCGTTTAAATACTTCTTCACCACCTGCAGTTTATTAATGGAACTTGTTTTCTTTATATAATCTAAAAAATTCTCTCATGTATTCTTTTCCCTTCCAGTAATGACTGAAGTGAGACAGGTGTCTCCATTTCCCACAACAATAAGCGTTAAAAAATATTTATTTATTTATTTATTTATTTATTTATTTATTTATTTATGTATTTATGCATTATTTATTTATTTGTTATTTACATTTTTCCTTTTTTTGGCAGTGGCAGGGGGGGGGGGGGAGTTATTCCTCTCGTTTATGGTTGGTTTTGTTTTGATTCCGTGGTTTTGGGGAAGCTTAGAGAAATGGGGATGGGAGAGGAGGATGTAAAAAAAAAAGAATGATAGACTACATAGGAAAGCTGAGTGGTACAGTTGTGATACAATGTACTTTGCTTTTTCGTATCTCCTTATTTTCTTCCTTCTTTTTTGTCCTCTTCTTCACTTTGACCACAAAGTATTTCCCATTTAATGAATTAAAAGAGTCCGACGTCATGAAACTATAATATGAAAAAATAATTATACTATAGGAAGCATTTTCTAAGGGGAGCCAAAAAATACTATTTCATTTTCAAATAAATCATGTTTCAAAGTTATTGTACTTTACCCTCCTCCTCAATACAATCCGTCACCCCAAAAATCCCGATTCGGTTGCAAATTATGGATTTTGAGTTATAGGTATATTTAGCTTCTTCATCCTTTCCTACAACTGTTTCATAGCATTAGAACCCCCTAAAGCCTTATTTCTTTCTATACCGGGCATGCGTGTCTGTGTCACCACCATTTCCTCTTAAAGTCAATCTTTTATTTTACTTTATGGCCCATTATCTCAAAACGCGGTTTTTCTATATATTTTTGAATAACTCCACTATTTTTTATCCAATCTTCATGACATTTTCACAGAATGAAGAGAAGATGTTATGCTAGAAATATGTTCGTTGAATTTTTGTAAATAGAATATATTTTTGTTAGTGGTGTGGTGTCTGGAGTGTGGATTTTAACGGATTTTTAAATAAAAAATCTTCTAATTCGTTTAGGAAAAATTCAATTTTTTTTTTCTAGATCTAATGTTTGTTGTCATGCATGCAAAAAAACCAACAACAACCAAACAATCTATTTCCATGGGAAATAACGGTATTCGTTACGTAAGACATGTCAATAAAATCCAAAATAGCCGCCATAGCCATTGAAAACGAAACATTTTCTCAAATTTGATTGCGGATTTTAAGACTCCTTACTATGCTTGGCATATGTGTGAAGTTTGGTCAAATTTGACCTGCTAATAAGCGAGATAGCCTTCAGGTGTAGCCCTTCCCCCCCTCCTTAACGTCCATCCAATAGGACTTACCAAAATGAGAACATTCGAGTAAAGTGCCTTTCCCAAGGACACGACGTCGGACCAAGCTGAGCCTCGAATTCCTGAACCCGCAATCTCACGATTACGGCTCAGGTCAAAGGCGAAGACTGACTTTTGTTCGACTGGATAATCAAAGCGAGACAAAGGACCAGAGATGTGCCCACATGCCAGAAGATCAGGGGGTGCGGCTGAAAGACAGCAGTAAGAAAGAGCAAAGGAGTAGCAGAAGAAGGGCTGTAGAAAGAGCTAAGAGTCCAGAAGAAGCAAAAGAGGTGAAGGGTGGGGGTAGAAAGTGGATACGGAAGCATACGACAGAACATTGCTAGAGAGCAGGAAAGGAGGTGAAAGGAGACAATTTTAGAGAAGAAAATATTTCAGTCGCTACCCGGAATGAACCCTGGACCTTTGAATGAGAGGCGAACACTTTAACCTCTAGGCCACGAGAGCCCCCAAATATGTATTATTCTACGTAATGCAAATCGTATTTAAAACTCATTGCGGTATGCACAAATAATACGTGGTCTCAAGAATTTTTAAAAGCAAATTTCAACTTTTTTTAAAATGAACGCAAAGGTTTCAAATTTGGCTGCTTGATCTAGTACCTCACCGGCATCTGTGGTGAAGCGGTTAGGAGAACTTGAATCGAGCAGATCTGGGCATATCTTAGTCATTCTGTTGGGATGTTGAGTCCCACTCCGTTCAAGTTGGCCATAAATGCAGGCATGCAGGGCCGAAGCCCACCCACTAAGTGTTATATAAATTGTTTCAATGTGGGCGTAAAAATTAAAAAATACTTATTCTTTTTATTATTAATCTTAAAAAGTATGTTCGGCAGACTTGTAATCCTATACTAAATTAAGAAAATGGCTTAGTATGATAATTTCTCTGACAACTCCATTTTGCCGCTTGTCCTCTGTTCATATTTCGCAACACGATTTTAATCTTTCTCTTTTTATTTAGACTAGCATTCCTCACTGTTTCTTCGTTTTTTACCTGTACCACCAATTCCAAACTGGCGTCTGTGGTGTATAGCGGTTAGTCGCCGACGAACGAACAAGATCGGGGTTCAATTTTGGGGAGGATTTTTATCGAGTATGGAGGTCTTTCTGCTGGGACGTTGTATCCCTCTTAGCTCGGGTTGGCCCTGACAAACATGGTCAAAACCCGCTTCCTAATAAATTGTCTAAATTTTGTCGATGGGAACTAAAATGAAAAAATACTGAAAACACCTTTGGCGGCCAGGAGCTAATACCGTAATCATGCCATGACTTGACTACTGTGGTCGGTAAAAAGTCAAGGAAAAACAACGAAACACACACACACACCCACACACACACACACACACACTCACTCACAACGGGCATAAGCTTATTTTGGCTTCGTCTCCCTCACCTTTTTGAGTCAGACCCAACCAGTATGATTGTTGGCTTTCATAATCATTGCTTGTGACTGCTCATATAAGAGGGGCTAGAAAGAGGGGAAGCGGTTATTTTTAAAGTGGCAATAAAACCACACAACTGTGTGTTATGCACACGGTTCATGCGCTGGTTATTGTTTTGTGCTGCGATGATGCTCTCAAATTATGGATAGAAACAATGATTATTTAATTATGTTGATGCTTTATCCACTGCGTCCTATAGCCTGACCACTGCACTACCGACGCCACTTTTTTCAATTGTTACAAAAAAGAAGTAATAAAGCAGGCTCAGTAGAAGAAGTCCGATCTGATCAAGTTATTATAGGCCTACTAAAAACATAAGTTAGAAAATTTTTTTCAGGCTGTAGCAAATTGTGAATTTTGCCCGGATGGCAGCCGAAGCCTACTCTTATCGATTTTAGACCACCAAAGGATCTTTAACATGCGCAACCTGCACACGGGACTTCCGAGATTTTTTGCCCTTGTCCGAGAAAGCTATGTGTAGATCTTTCCTACCATAAGATCAGGAGTATGGCTGAAAGACAGCAATAAGAAGGAGCCAAGGAGTAGCAGTAGAAAGGCTGCAGAAAAAGTCAGAAGCCCAGAGGAGGTGGCAAAGGATGTGAGGGGGTGGAGGCAGAAAGTGGAGACGAAAGCAGACGACAGAACATTGCTAGAGAGCAGGAAAGGAGGTGAAAGGAGACAATTTTTAGAGAGGAAAATGTTTTTTGGTCACTGCCCTGATTCGAACCAGGGACTTTTGAATATGAGACGAACACCTTAACCTCTACGCCACGAGAGCCACCTATGAGATGTTTAATTATCCCCCCGCAACTTTGGCGGGTAATTAGTTGCAGGTGAATTTCAACAGACCCGGTGACACTTACAAATGGGGGATCAAAGTTCGAATCTCTTTTCGAGCAGTAACCCTTTTCTCAGATTCAACTCGTCATATTATGTAGCACTTAGCCAAAAGTTTTAATAAATCTTGGAAGGTAGCTTATGTTCTGCTCTAACCTTTGTCTTTGACCGTACAACTAGAAAGGTCTAAAATTAATACAAAAGTCAAAAGTCATGGCCGATACTATGTGCATAGAGCACTACCTTAGAATTGCAAAGTTCTATCCGCCATTTTTGGCCGTTATGAGTTAATATGACCATGAGGTCAGAAACCAAAAGTGCTATCTGCTCTATAAAAATAATGCGGTTAATTGGAATCGCTATCAAAATATTCAAAGAATTGCATTCGAAAATTTTTGCTGTGAAACTAAAAAAATATTAACCTCAGATTTATCAAAACTGGGTACTCAGCAGACATCGCTTTGTGTTTTCGGAGTAGTGATATGGCTACAACACAGCCGTTTTCGGATTCCTCATAAACAAGTCAGTGAATATAATTCAGGTCATCATCATCATCCAGTGCCAGATCTGCGACAGACATCGGCGATCATGGTTCTCCATTCATTCCTTAGCTCCGGTGCTCTAAAAAAAAGCTACGTTTCCTTAATCTTTCCCTGTTACCCATTTGTTTTGGTTCCCCAAGTATGTTTTGGGCCTTCCCCTGCCTCGCTTGCCCTCAATTTTGCCAGTGAGAGCTTGGTGTTCAAGACCCTTATGTCTATTTATGTGTCCCAAAATTCTGTTCTTAGCACCGATAAACCTGGAAAAGGAAAGAGACTAAAGTTCCAAGGACAATCTCTTAAATAATTCCACTGAAATATTGACACAATATTTTGGTTCAAACTTTTATTTCTTTACCTTTATCAAACACTGCAACACTCATTACTACAGGTTGCATTTTGGATTTTATCGGTCCATTGCTACGGTTTTTTAGACACACCCTCCTACTACCAGCACGTACTTCAACACGTTACGTCTTGTTCCTAGGTTCAATCAAAAAGACTTTGCATGAGACAGTACTGGCAGGGTCAGGGTTACCGGCGATGACTGGAACATGCAGCCTTGCAAGCGCAGAGTTGGAAATAAACGTCCTTGTGTGTGTTCCAAGTATGGTACTAGTGCTGAATGTGACAGAGTGGTTCCTCCTGTGGATATCTGGATGCGTCCAGGCTATAATCTACGAGAAGAAAAGAAAATATAAACTTTGAAAATAGATAATAAAGAAGACACATAAATAAAGACAATTTATATAAAAAGGAAGTTTGCTTTGATAGTGCTTTCCACTTAGTGGATTATATACTTGAATAGACACACCATAATAATATTACAATATATACCAAATGTAACCTAAAGAACCCATGAATATGTTACTTGTCAAAAATGTGCTGTGGGGAAATCACCACGGCAGACATAAAAAGTCTACTGCGATTAAAAAACTATGGCGGAAATGTACAGCTGGGAAAAGCACAGCCTCTCAGTCTTTGCAGAACAAAGACCTAAGAATACACTCAAAACACATTCATGTTAAGTCATCGGCATTGGATACAGTTCGCACATTGCCAAATGTAAGTATGTTGTGCCATACTGCATTCTGTGGTTGTTTTCCAAGGGGTTTTGCTGAGAGAGAGAGAGAGAGAGAGAGAGAGAGAGAGAGAGAGAGAGAGAAAGAGAGAGAGATCCAACAGCTGAATGAATGGGCACAATTTAATCTTTAATTAAGAAAAGCCTCAAAATCACACGATAAGCCTTAACATTTTATGAACCCCACTCAGAATTGATGCTCGTAATTCGGTAATAAATCCTCTTCACAGGAATAAGTGACATGTGATTCATGACCTGAAAAGGCTTTCCACCCAAATTTTACGATGAGCCCAGTTGCTACATCGTTTCTTTCATGTTAATTTAGGATTCGTTCCATTTGTTTAATTTTATGTTGAGATGAGGAACGTGCCAGAGATCATCCTTGACGCGCTCGCTCGTAATTAAACTTTTTTGGGGTAAGTTTTCGGGCTATAACTCGAGCTTCAGAAAGTTTTGTCGCACAAAGTTGTGCACTCTCAAGTCAAGCGTAGTGTCGTGCGTGTGCCCTGTCAAAACACAGACGTCACGCAGAGGGGGTGCCGACTGCGAGAGCTTACGACCAGGTATATGAGGACAACGACCAGGACGCTTTCAATTAAACCATGCGGTCTGGGTTCAAGCCTCATTAGTTTTTCTCAAACACAAGTGGCATGTAATGTTTTGTGTATTTTATGGCTCGGTTAACGCCTTACTAAACCAGAACAGATTACTGTGGTAAGCGGAGAGAAGAACTTGGGCTGGCTGGGGAGATGGAGGAGAGGAACCACTGCACAGAAAGGATGGGGTGGGGAATCATGCAGCACATTTTGACAAAACAAAGTCGTGAGTGCTTTTACTGTTAGTCACGCGTAAAAGCACACGCGTCCTCTTTCGCCTTGAGAACGGTTGCACCTCATAATTGGGAGAAGGTGGCGGTGGGGGTTGAATTGTATGTAGGGAAGGGAGGGGGTGGAGGTACAGAGATAAGGAAGGTAGGTGGGGCAGGGGGGGAGGGGGGCTTTAAGTGTTAAGACTCATTTGTAGGATGTAGAAATCGCGGTTTAAAAAAGTGCGATTCGTGATCTAGAAATGTTTTTTCTCTTTTTTTTTTTCTTTTCTTTTCTTATCCAAGTGTTAAAACACACCCAGTTGCTTTTTCAAACTTTCCAATTATCTCCATGTTTTGGGATAGTATGAGGCAGAAACCACCTGAGCGTTCTTCTTACTTTGGTTTGTATTCCTTGGCATTCAATTCAGTTTCATCGCTTTTGCTTCTCTCTGTCATATTCCAACATTGGCCTGTGAACAAAACAAAACAAAAAACTCTGAACTCTTACGAATAGAGGAGTGAAAATAACAACAAAAAACAACAACAACAACAACAACAAAAACAACAACAACAACAACAAAAAAGCGTTTGCCTTACTTCTTCTGTGCGTTTTTATTGTGGAAATGCAAACGAAACAGCTGGTCTCTCATGCCGTGTGTATTCTCTGCCTTGTGGATCATCATGAACTGGCACAACACGTAAAGCGTTAATGGCTGACGGACGTTGTGTCACAGGAGGTGAGATGACAAATGGGATATCCCCAAGGACAGTTCAATCAAGGTTCGATTCCAAGTCCAGGATGTTTTCCTTATGATGCTTGACCTTCCTGGTTGTAGAATGTACAGTGGAATCTGTCCACATACGGTTACCCATCATCGATGGGAAAAGTGGTTGTCTTAGACAGTTAAGCGTTTTTGGAAAGCGTCATTATAAAATCTAAATCAAACAAACATACAAAACAAACAACAAACAAACAAACAAACAAAAAAGCAAACACCCCCCCCAAAAAAAAAAAAACAAGAGGAAAAAAAATCCGCAAGGGGGTTATGGGAAGTAAGAGTTTGTACGAGTGATTGTCTTAGACAGGTGGCGTTAGACTAGAGCAGGTTCTATACTGTATTTTCTTAGAGCTGGCAGTTCTGAAAAGTGATGACTGACTTTGAGTTCCTGCCTCAAGATGGCTTGTATTATGCCTAAACAGAACAATGAACTTCAATAGCATGAAAAGGAAGATTGACTTTTGAAGCAGTAATGGTGATGGGGAAATAATTGATCTTCTTTCCAAGAAGCACTTCACCTAGTTTGGTTTCTGGTGGAGCAGACAAAGATGGTTTTCTTTATTTTCAAAATATTTTATTCGCGCAGTTGCCCATAGTGCGTTAAATTACGAATTAAAGAGAATGAAGGCAAGCAAGCACTATTAATATTATATTTTATTTGTACTTTCGTTCGAACTACCCACCCGTGAAAAAGCCGAATCCTCTAGCAGGGTGAAAATAATAGCAACTATCGCTTCACTGCAAGATCAAGTATGCACAACGCTAAGCCCCAGAAGATGGGTTCTTTTGCTCTGAGCGCTGAAGGAGAAGGCTGATGACGTCAGAGGTGTTGAGCTAGGTGGTATCCTCGAAAATCATATAATCACACAGAGAGAGAAAGAGAGAGAGAGAGAGAGGGGGGGGGGGGGGGGGAGGGAGAGGGAGGGAGGGGGGGGGGGGGGGGGGGGGGGGGGCAAGTTCAAGGGAGAATGTTAATCAAGTATCTCGGTCTTTCTGCTGGGATGTTGTATTCGGCCCTCTAAGCCCGGGTTGGCGCTGACAAACGGGGTCAGGAGCCCGCTACCTAAATGATCTGAATTGTGTCGATGGGTGCGCGCATACTTGAGAACATACACAATCAACAGTGTTTAACTATAATATTATTGTATTATAATCACACCCTAATGATTGTGATCCTATTCAAAGTCTACTCAGTGGGTGCTTGATGGGTGCTCTGGTGTAGTTTGCTCATTCTTTACTATCAAACATAACAATATGTCGATCTTATCTCTCCTCTGCCTTTTTGTGTTTTTTACTCTATTATAACACCTCTAATCTTCGACACTAACATAACCTTATCGTGTGCAAATGCCGTAAAACTCTCACTAAAATAGGAAACAAAAACAAAAAAAGTCCACTCACCAGCACAGTCTGTTTTCTCAACCGGCTTGTCGGCGTCGCCCGAGCATTGTATGGCCGGCACAGCAGTTGTCAGGTTGGAGAGTGCACCGGACAGCTGAGCAGAGGTCCCTTCGTAACAGCCGCAGTACACTCTTTCTTTTGTTTGTTGTCTGTTCGGGGGTGCTTGTTGCCCTCCTGTGCACACATAAATAAAGCGATGTGAGACAACAAAGCCTACTACGTAAGGAACTAGAACAAGAAAATTATGCTTACTAGTTGGATTGTCCGCCCAGTCCTGGAACACGGTATCGCAGTGTGGGGAACTGCATCGGGCAGCTTCTTCCACAAAGTAGTGAGAATCCAGAATCAAATTCTATGGATCATCACAGGAGCAATGAGGTCTACGCCCATTCATGTCACGGAGACACTAACTGGGCTAGAACCCCTGAACGACAGACGCGATCTGAAAGTGATTGTTCATCAGGAAAAGGTCAAAATAATGCCAACCCACCAAATGAAGGATAAATCTTCAAAAAGCCAGAGCAAACGCTTAAAAAGAACAAGTTTCCTCCATACGGCCAGGCACCCCAGCTCTGAACTAGAAATCTCTCTTGAAGAATCTCCAACCCCAACAGACCCATGTCAGGTCCACTCTCTTTTGACCAATCTCCCCCCCCCCCCTCAAATTCGAGAGAACACAGAAGAGCTTGGCACCAAATCTGAAGTCCCTCCTCACATACTCAAGCCACTGACACTCGACTACCTGGACAGAAACTTCCCAAGCAACCGGCGGAATCGAGTTTACACAGATGGATCAGAAACGGATGCAGTCAGAAACGTCGATGGAGGTATCTACATAGAGTGGATAGATGGGTCAACAGAGAGCCATTCCATCCCCACAGGATCTCTATCTTCCAACTATAAAGCAGAAGCATTAGCACTGGAAACAGCAGCCACCATTCTCTTGAATCACCAAAATTCTAAAGCCAACATCGTCATCCTCACAGACGCCAAATCTGCCCTATAAGCTCCCCAAAAGCCACAATCTGCTCAAGTATGACACTCCTTTCACTCCTATGTGATCTAAACTCCCAAACCAACACAACTCTACAGTGGATACCAGGTATCTGTGGCATTCGTGGAGATGAAAAAGCAGACGACTTAGCCAAAGAAGGAGCCAAAATGATCCAGATTAAGGATGGCATGGATCTCTCCGAGTCAAAAACGCTAATAAAATCTGCCACAATAAACATATTGAAAAGATCCCACCCTAATCACAACAGATGTGACCCCTACTACATGCTAAATAGAGCAGACCAGGTCACAATCTTTCGACTCCGTTGTGACCACAACAGACTCAAACACCATATGCACACTTAAAAAAAAGTGGGAGAGTCCGCGATCTGCGAATGTGGACTCAACCAAGAGGATGTCAACCATATTCTTCAGCACTGCCTGCGCTACGCCACCCTTCGTACACAGACGTGGCAGAATGTGACTCCTGTTGAGAGAAAGCTCTATGGCAGTTCTCTCATATTTGAAGCGAACTGCACAGTTTGTGCACGATATCGAACTGACTGTCTAGCTGCTGTCATCGTGAATGAGGAAGAAGAAGAAAGAAGCTTAATTGAAATCCACCAACCGAAGACTATGTGTCACCTTGGTCTAGAACTTTGGGACTTCAACAAAGAGAAAACAAATTCTAATTATTTAACTGTCCTGTCCTGTCTTGTTTCGTTTTTTTTTCTTCAGGTAAAGGCTCGAGGGGAGAGGGGGGGGGGGCACTGGTGTGAACAGTTTAAAGGGATGCTCTTCGCACCATGTTATTACTGAGGAGCAACAGAGCTGAGGACGACAAAGAACACCATACACAGATAGCCTGAACACCTTACAGCGATTTCCACTGAGAAAAACAAAACTGATCAAGAAGACAGACAACAGGAAGGAATGGGGTACCATGATCGTCAGCGTCCGCTCCAGACATGACACCAGGGGGCTCTCGTGGTCTTGAGGTTAAGGTGTTTGCCTCTCATTCGATAGGTCCCGGGTTCAAATCCGGACAGCGACGAAAATTTTGTTCTCTAAAATTTTATCCTCTCACACCCGTACCTGCTCTCTAACAATACTCTGTCTCCTGCTTTTATCTCCACTTTCTGTCCCCACCTCTGCACCTCCTTTGCCCCCTCCACTGGGCTTCAGACTCTTTCTGCAGCCTTTCTACTGCTTATCCTTGGCCACACCTCTGATCTTATGGTAGGAAAGATCTACACCTGGCCTTCTCGAACAAAGGCGAACAATCTCGGGGGTCCCGTGCGCAAGTTAAAGATCCCTTAATGGTCAAAAATCGACAAGAGTGGGCTTCGGCCGCCACCCCCTCCCCCCCCCCCCCCGCGCTCATAGGACCTTATGCAGTTGCGAGCGCCATAAAACACTTGAAAAAACCCACAAACAACCAACAACCAAAAAAAACAACAACAAACAAATAAAACATATGGCCTAAACTCCTTACAGGGAATTCCACAGAGAAAAACAAAGCTAATCAAGAAGACAGACAACAAGAAGGAATGGGGTACCACCATGATCGTCAGTGTCTGCTCGGACATGACACCCGAAGAAGAAGAAGTAGATTATACTCACCTTGAGAGAGGGGTAACGCATTGGCTGAGGTTTTGGGTCGATTATTAAAGAGTGTCTCGTTTCCTTGTAGTTTCCAGGAGTCGACGAAAGCGTGTGGCCGACAACGACTTCCTTTGCACGTATCTATTACGTCATCACTGAAAGAGAAAACGAGAGTTGGACAACATGAAAAGGAACCAGCTGCAGTGATGTGATTGTTAGCTCTCTCTCTCTCTTTCTCTCTCTCTCTCTCTCTCTCTCTCTCTCTCTCTCTCTCTCTTTCTCTCTCTCTCTCTCTCTCTCCCTCTCCCTCTCCCTCACCCTCTCCCTCTCCCTCTCCCCCACTCTCTCTTCTCCTCTCTCCTTTCTCTCTCCTCCTCCTCTCTCTCTCTCTCTCACACACACATACACACATCTATATATACACACCTACATAATGATATATTCACACATATACACACACATACTATAATAGATAGATAGATAGATAGATAGATAGATAGATAGATAGATAGATAGATAGATAGATAGATAGATAGATAGATAGATAGATAGATATACTATATAAAATATCACCTTTTAATTTGGGTACTGAAAATATTTTCAAGAGACGCAGCATAGGGACTTCCTATTTTCATATAACAGCCTTTCTTTTATGATAATCAGAAATAGTCTCACCTGCCCATGAGGTCGTTGGTAGAGTTCCCATCAAAGGTTCCGCAGAGACCACGGTTGTTCCCCCTGCCTTTGTGGCTGGGAGGGACAGTGAGCTTCATACTGAGGGACAGCTTTGGTTTGTACAGACTGACGCTGGCCCCTGACGGAAGCTTGATCAATACTCTGTCCCCACGAGGGCTCTGTTGGGAATGAACGGTGGGGTGTGGGGATTGTTTGACGGCGTTACTGGAAAGTGTTGGTTTATTCTATAACTTATTCTATCTAGTTTTCCGGGCACTTATATGACCTTATTGTGTTGTAAGTGCCGTAAAACTCTTTACTAAAACTAAAAAGACCTTTTCCCCAACACAAAATTACCGCTGTCATAATTGTTTGTGACCAACGTACGCCGAAAGCATAGAAAGTATCATGTCGGACTACGATGTGGGTGAGTCCAGTTACAAATGTACAATCCCCAGTGGGAACTGAATTGTGTGGTGGAATTTTCAAGACTCTCTGTCTTCTTGGCCTGAACATTGAGGTGTGGGGAAAGTTTGAGGGCGTTACTGGTAAGTGCTGGTCAAATTCATTATCAATTATGTCATTTGTAGGATTTAAATATTTCTTAGCAGCTCTAAATCTCAATAACTATAACTTTTGTGCCTGAGGTACACCTAAAGCATTGATTAGAAGGTATCATGTCGGATTACAGTTTGTGTCAGTCCGGTTTGAATCCTCATGCAGTAGGTATTCTTGAACTTGGATTGTTTGGGTGATTTTGAAGGCTTTTTACCTTCTTGGCCTGGTCCTTTTGGGATAGACTTAAGAATCAGAGGGCACGCTTCTTATACGACTTAACAGTAGTAACAGTGTTTTTAGATGCGTTGGGTGATTTACCTTGCCTTCAGCTTAGCCCTATTTCTTGTCAACGAAAGGATTGAAAGTAAATTCTGACAAAAATAGACCCCAAAACACTAAATAGAGGGAACTGCTTTCAGAATGTTCTTCCTGTGCACAGGATTAATCCGTTTCCCAGTGCACTTCCTTTGTAAATTCTGATAAAGCTGTAGAGGCCATTTCAATTCATTACAGCTATTTGAGGGATGGGACCTACTATTTATTGTCGATTTCTTTTAGAAATAGAACCGAGGGAGCCAAGAAGAAACCCAAACAACACGTAAACAAAAAGCTGTGCCTGACATTTTAACGAAGGTCACCCCCCCCCCCTGTCCTGAAGGGTTATTGCAAAACTCATTGCGATTACCTGATAGACCTTGGTCCCTTCCAGGAGACCTTCCACTGGCACTTGGAGTCTCAAGCCAGATGATCGTTGGCGAGTAGGAGAATGCTGATGGTGATCATTCGGGTGGCGTAGTTGGAGTCTTTTGCTTACGTCATGTCCCTCCCGAGACTCACACATGCTTGCCTCCACCATGTCATCGCCGTCTCTCACCACCACTCCACACAGGCAGGAGATTTGACCATTGCGTCCGCACGGAAACGTTCTGTAGACAACGTAAGAGTGAGAGCTTGTGAAGGTATGTAATTAATAAGGAGTTGCCAGCGTGCCTTTAGCTTACGGCTTACACAATCAAGTATTGCTTTCTACCGTCACTACAGTCCGGACTAATTGATGACAGTCTTACATCACAACATCTGTGGAACATAATATCCACTAATGAAAAAATCAAATAATTAATTTCACTTAGTGAGCCCTTGAGTAAATGCGTGAAAAACACACAATGTCACGAAGGTAGACAATCCACAGACAATGTCAGCGCGTGTCTTTGACCTAGGGTTATCGTGTATTGTTCAAGGACACACCCCTGCGTGTATCGCATGCCTTTTTTTTGTCGTGCGCTACCCGAAATGGCGATTTTCACGATTAAAAATAAAGAATTCCACTAATTTCAGTCGTTCGCGAAAAGTTCAATGAGATGTGGCTGTATTGGAGTCCAAATACACCCACATAACACTGGGCGACTCAAATTGAGAACTTAAAACGTTCACGAAAAAAACCCATCCCTTATTTTAACTTTTCTTTCTTTCTTTCTTTCTTTCTTTCTTTCTTTCTTTCTTTCTTTCTTTCTGTCTGTCTGTCTTTCTTTCTTTTATTCTTTCTCTCTTTCATTCTTTAATTCTTTCTTTCTTTCTTTCTTTCTTTCTTTGTTTTATTCATTCTTTCTTTTTAGTCTTTTTTCTTTCCTTTCTTTCATTCTGTCGTTTCTTTCCTCTCAAACGAAATGCAGCACTAGTCTAGAGGAATTTCATGGTCAGTTATACGTTCTGTGCCCTAGTGTGCTATTGCAGATTCCAGGGTATATATTGTGATCATATCTGATATCAATTTGTAACACACGAATCATAATGTGCGACTTTTCTTAACGTGTGTCCTGTGCATTCGACTTGACATTTAGCGAAATATCTTTCTAAACATATTATAAGGCACTACTTTTCAATCCGTTCATTATCAAATTTCGGATTTTAAAACCGTTACTTCAGCTTACCTGCCATGTACCTCGACCTGCTCGTTCGGGTTCTGGTACAAAACATAGTCTCCCACGTCGAAGAACGTGTACTTGTCTGGTCTCTCGAAAGCTCGCACGTGTGGATCGCCACTGACAGTGCACACACCCGGGACCGCATCTTTCACAATGACCTGCACGCGCGGTATCTGTTAGGAGAAATTCAACTCATTTTTATTTTCTGTTTGTCTCAAAGATCGTGCGTTCTCTATTAACATTATTCCACTCATTCTTATTGTCTATTTATCTCAAGAGTCACACGCGGTCTCTGCTAAGCACTGTAAAAGGAGAAGAATAAAAACCTGTCCTTCCTCCTTTTTTGTTGTTGTTTTGTATAAACCTTAATCTAAAATGCAACTGGTACTCTGTGTGCCTGGACGTAAAAGACGCAGGTTCAATTCTCATTTGGAGAAGATTTTGTCTTAGTTCTTCTGCCAGGGTGTAACATCCAGCAATAATCGAAACACTCCAAACCAAAACTGTACCGATAGTCTGTAAAACATTTCCATACAAAGAACAATTTTTTTTCATTCTCTAAGCCTATCTATTTTAACGAAAACCTGTGCTGATGTGACAAGATCTTTCGTCCTGGACAGGTGAGATAAGAGATTGCGTCTGCTATCTCCGTTCTTCTGCTGTGATGTGTTACTCGCGACCAGGTTGGCACTGTCACGCAAGATCAACAAAGAAGCCTGCCTCTTATCAATTTCTTTACATTGAGGTAAAGCGATCACAACTTTCGGCAGCTTTCTACTTTCATTCCCCTCTCTTCTCACTTTTTGGTTTTGTGTTGGTTTGCCAGCTCATGTTTATTCAGTACCTTTCTCCAAGAAAACCCGAAATACAGAAACAATATTATTACAACACCGACATTATAGACATAAGTAATGCATGTTTTTTTTTTTCTTTCAAAAGTCAAGTCAAGTATAACTCCCCCCCCCCCCCCTCTTTCTCTTCGCAGATCAACGATGACAGCCAGCTTTTTCTTTGTCCTATTACCACGCATCATCAACCCCACTGTGGCTTTCCAGTAATCCTGAGGGTCTGCAGACGAGGTCAAATCAGCTCTGAATGAGGGGGTCCAATTTACTTTTTTTTCCTTCATCTTTTCTTAACGTCATGACTAGATCGTGAACGTTAAGTTCTGCCTGAACATACGCACCGGTACGTCCTTCCACACTTGGTGATAAGGGCCCTCGCCGGCCGGGTCAAGTTTCCAGAAGTTGATCCAGACCACCTGTTGGCCATCATCTATGTCGTCCCTGCAACAACCATTATATAAGTTACTCTATCGTAATCTTTAGAGTGTGTGAAACAATGTAACTGTTATTGTAAAGTTAATGTTCCCAGCATTCAACAGCTGTCTATTTTCATTTATATTTCTTCTCTCGGTTTCCGTTTTTAAAGTCTGGACCTATTTTATTTATGTTAATGTTTTGGGGTTGTTGTTTTTCTTAGTTTTGTTTTTGGTTGCTCTCTGTCCACTTTATTCTTTGCCCTCCCCAAGATGGCCTGAAGTACAGAACAATATAGCAGCAGCACCTATATTCTTGACATAGGAGACTTTTTTTTAAAAAAAAGGTAGGTGCTCCCACCCCCCCCCCAAAAAAAAAAATCATTAAAAAATATTTAAAAAATCAAAAAAATCGACAATACTTCTTTTAAGAGGCGGGCTTCAACCCTGCCTGCCAGGGCCAATCCGGACCGAGGGGGATACAACTTCCCAGCAGAATGACCGAGATACTCGAAAAAAAATTCTCCTTACTCGGGAACCGAACTCGTGTCTCCTGCATGCGACGGTGAAGCGCCGGACCACCACACTACAGGAGCCGATTCATGGGAAGTATTTTTTTCTGTTAAAAGTAGCGTATAATCCCTCAGCTACATAGAACTTACCTGTTTCTGTCTCATCATCTAAAATATTTGTGTACAGTTGTGTTAAATGTAAATGTGTTAGGCTTACACCGACACGATGTCGTTTATTTGGGAGGTGGTGTTAACAATTACATATTATATCTCAGTTCAAAATAATATAGTGGACTTTACAGCGTAAGCACCTCGCATTAGACAATTGCTAAAGAAGGTGTGAGGGGGTAGGGTGAGGGGGTGGGTTGAAATGGAGGGGGATATTAATATTGAATTTGTTTAATTAATCCATACCCTTGAACAGGGGATATTAGGCCCGATTACTCGGTATGATTAATTAACCCATTGACATGAACTGTTACTAATAAGTACATGTATATTATAGATTAAGCTAATCGCTGCCTTAGAATCACAAAATTTTATATGACATTTGAGGCCTTTTTGAGTCATAAAGACCATGAGGTCAGAAACCAAATTAATGTTCTGTCTGCTTTATCAAAATTGCAAGATTATTTGGAGTCGTTTTGAAGTTACTTCAAAGAATTGCATTCGAAAAAGCTTGACATGTTGTGAAACTCAATAGTTCTGACGTCAAGTCTCTCAAAACTTGGTACTGAGCAGGTAAATAGGCCCTTGTATTTCTATGGTAGCGTAATTTATAACCAACTCCAAATCCCAACACTCACCGGCTGGCAATGACAGGGATCTCTACTGTGGCGCTTTGTGTCCTGGGATCCCAGTGTGAGCCACACATTTCATAGTGACAATTGGTACCCACCGCAAGGTTGCTAGGGGCACCACTCACCCGCAAGTTCAAGGTCACACAGCAAGCAATAGGGTCACTGACCTCACATACGACGGGAACCTTCGGGAATATAATAGAATATAATGTCATTGAAGCCTGGATGCAAGGTGAACGTGAATGAAAAAAAGGGAAGTGTCTAAGTGTGTGTGTGTAAAGGGGGACGGGGGAGGGGGGGGATTAATTTAGATGAGGATCTCTGTGCTCCTGGGCCGGGGTGTTGAAGGGGTGATTTAGAGAAGGGGACAGAGGGAGGGGGCGAGAGGTTTCCACGCGAGACTTTTAATTTGTGTTGGAAAGAGAAGTTGGGTAGGTTGGAGAAGATAAAAAGAAGAAGAAGAAGAGAGGATTTGACGGGCAGAACTAAGGACTTGTGCTATCGTCTTGTTTTGAAGGAAGACGGCTCACAAAGTACATTATGTGCTTTCACAAGGAAAAGAAACAAGTAGGTGTTTATTTGCCAATCCTCGCCCCATCGCGCAACACTTGACCGCCTGCAGTGTGTGTG